AATGCAAATTGTGTAAGTTTTAAGCAATAATAAAACAATTTATATAGCACGTTTTACACTTAATGAACGGCCAGAACTCAATAATTTCAAACATGTTCAGCAAAGTAAGGTCTACAAATAAGTTTATATGAACAAAATTGTCAATTGATCCCTTAAGCAGTAATTGCCCTTTAAGGACAATAATCATGTTTTTTTACTTTAACAAATCTTCTCCTCTGAAACTACTAAACTTAATTAAACCAAACTTAAGCTGAATGATTCTCAGTTATTTAGAATAAAGTCTGTGTTTTATTTTATGTTTCCTCATAAAACATAGTTGCCATGGCTAAAAATAGAACATAGGGTAAAATGCAGTTTTTGACTTATATCTCAAAAACAAAAGCGTTGAGAGGAAATCAGACAAGAAGTTAAAGTATTCATTAGGTCAAGGTCTACCTGCTCTGAAATTATCAGCCAAATCGGGTATCTGATTTTTAGGTTATTGCCCCTGAATTGATGATTTTAAGGACATTTTGCAGTTTTCGGTTATTATCTTGAATATTATTGTAGATAGATAACTGTAAACAGCAAAAATGTTCAGAAAAGTAAGATCTACAAATAAGTTTTATATGACCAAATTGTTCATTTGACACCTTAAGGAGTTATTGCCCTTTAAAGACAATTTTTCACAATTTGTTCATCTAGTTTGCTTACTTTAAAAAATCTTCTCCTTTGAATCAATTTTATCCAAACTTTGGCTGAATGAGTTTCAGAGTATCTAGTATAACTTTTGTATTTTATTTCCTTGTACGTCAAGAAACATAGTCACTATGGCTAAACATGAACATAGGAGAAAATGCATTTTTTTGCTTTTGAAGAAAATATGACAAATACAAAGAACATTTAAATGGCATTTTTAAGCCACTCATTAATATATATTGAAAAGCAAAAATAATCATTGATGAAAGATTTAAGCAAAAAATTACAGGTGAGCGATTCAGGCTCTTGAGAGACTCTTGTTATAGTATAACATACATTGTTTAAAAAAGGAGATGTGGTATGATTGCCAATGAGACATTTATCCAGCGGAGTTCAAATGACGAAGATTAAAGCAATTAAAGGTCAGCGTATGGCTTTCAACAACGAGAAAAACCTATACCGTATAGTCAGCGATAGAAGTCCTCGACATAAAAATGTGTAACAACCTCAAAAAATCAAACCGGAAAACTTCCCGACCAGATTATGACAAACATGAACCAACGACAACCACTTAATATCAGGATCATGAAATGGGACAGACACATACATCATATGGCGGGGTTAAACATGGTTGTGTTTCAATTTTACTGCACTAGATCCGCATTTCAAAATTAATATCACGCACTGTTCCTAAATATCTGAAAATTCGAATCTTATCAAAAACGTGAATTAGCAATGATGAGCTTATTAATCCAAAAACGATCAGAAGTATAGTCAATTATAGACAAGGAATCGAGACTATTTGTGAAGGAGATACTTTTGTTAATCTACAATGATATTCAAAAATTGTATACCAGCAAATTTCAATGAAACAATAACCGCATTTACATTCCATTTCCAAAGTATACAATAATCGTGATAATTTATTACTGTTGTGGTATGATCTCTTATATAATCAAATTACGGATATTGTTTTAGCGGAATTTGCTGTCATCAGCAATACAACGTTTGAATTATATTGTTGACCTTTACATGTTTGGCCTCGAGCATTACGGAGGAGACATTCATTCTTAAAGTGCGCGTTTGGTGCGGTATGTTTAGGTCCGGTAGTATTATTATCGACAACGCAATTCTCACTTTTTAACCAGCGATTTGTAATTATAAAAACATACCAATTGCTGTGTAGATTATTCATGTTTATCGTTTTATTCGGTATAAGTTAGATAAAAATAACAATCTATATATTTGGTGCATCCAAACCACCTTTTTGAAGCTACCTTCATCAGGAAAGATAACAATAACTTTATATCCAATAAGATAGATATAAGACAACACAAAAATTAAATGTACAAATATTTATACAGAGGACCTAATCAATGTACACAAATAGAAGAAATGACATTTCTCGATACGTTTGTATTTATTATTTCTGTAGTAGGAAACATTCAAATTGCGTTATTATATTTAACAATTGATCTTTTGTGTAAAAGAGAGACGAAAGAAACCAAAGGAACATTCAAACTCATAAGTCGAAAATAAACTGACAACGCCATGGCTAAAAAAGAAAAAGACAAACAGACAAACAAGAGTACACAAACCACAACATAGAAAACTAAAGACTGATCAACATGAACCCCACCAAAAACTGGGGGTATGACAATTGGAACATATCCGTTATTATCGGAAATCATGATAGGAAATACAAGCCCTGAAATATCGTATCAACTGAGAGATGTGTATAGCATATGCAGACGCTGCTGGAATAATGCTACATAGAAATGGGAATTTCACAATTGGAAAGCTGAAACCATCTCTTTTGTGGTAAAGTTTTGTTTTCAACCGACCCTCATTTTCAATTTCTAGATGTAAGTCAAGATATGAGGAAGACTTGACTGTATATGTTGTATCTTTTATCTCAAAATCGATGGGATAGATGCGCTCAGCACCTTTTATGTAATGATTTCTTCATGCTAGATGAATGTGTCAATATATATGTAGGAAAGTTGTCCATGTAGTGTTCATTAATCTGTAATTGTATATTATATTTGTTAAAAATTTGTGTTTCATCCATTTTCTTTTTTCAACATTAGATTATGTTTAAACTATTTATGGCATTGGCTATGGCTAACCTTTGTCATTGTTAATTTTAATGCTCGTTAGCTTCGTAATTGATATGGCATTCCAACTGTTTTTAAACCAGCTCCACTGATGAGACATTTGTACAGAAATCGCGAGCCTAGCGTACTAAATAATGCGACTGATTTCTTAAATGAGTTTTTCCACCATCCTAAATACATGTCATAATGTTACACGTTTTGCAAAATGTTTTATTTAAAAAAGTAAGATTTTGGGCTAGTAAAACATTCTATTTCATTTCGTTTGTCTAAAATTTTTGCGAATGATTTTCTGCCAGGTACATGTATGCTACTGAATGAAAATTAGGAATTTTTTGAAAACAATGTTAATGTAGTGTAATACGTTTAAAAATAAATGAACGACCGTTCTATTTGTGATGAAGTACTGTTTACAAAAATTCATTTGTCACAGTTCATATTGAGAGTTTAAATATAAAGTCTTTTATATAAATAAGAGATTGGGTATGAGTGCCAATGAAACAACTATCCATCCAAGTCACAATGTGTAAAAAGTAAACAATTATTTTAATTCGTTTAGTTCATTTCAGTCATATATTTGTATTTTTTATTTGAACAATTATTGAATCTTAGCTATGGAAATGTACAGTTTAAAAAGATGTTCAACACAGCAAGTCAGTATGTATAACTTTTTAACGTAGCTTAAGTTTTTTTAACGTATTCAATATCGTCTTTTCAAACAAAGAAGCAATCGATTAAATGGGAAGTATAGTGTTTTAATTTGAAATGCAATTGTTGAAACCAATGGGATATTTGATCTTTTTAAAAACATTCGTTATTTTCGTCCATTACACTTCCCTGCGGACTTACCTCAACCATTCGCACAGAGTATATGTTGTACATATCATAGCACTTTTGGTCTGTTAAAACAGACATACCTCCATACATGTCATAACATGTTTTGCCTGTATCAAGTCAGAATATCTGGAGCAAGCAATATGTTGATTATTGTTATTTGTATTCGTTTCCGAACTCAAACTTGCTATAACAGTCTCTCAATTAAGACCTTGTTTTGTCAGTTCACCTTCATTTACACCGCGGTAAGTATTCCTGCCTATTTTGAGCTCAATGCAAAGGTTACCTCTCTTATGAAGTCAGCTGTAAATGTGCCGAGGTTAATCGTTAATATATAGGTTTGGCTTTATCGTTTTTCGGGGAAAAAAAGGATATCGATATTCAATGTTTTCTTTTTACATGTTTTATTGCTGTGTCCAAACTCACCAGTTGTAAGAAATTATGAACCTTAGTGACTGTTAAAACCGAGCGCTACCGATACACCACAACAAACCCTCTGATGAGTTTGCTATTGACACTGTTGATACATGCAATAGCTGCGAAATAAAAATCTGCATGTTAATTAATTCATTCAGACATTGTGTTAATCACATTTGCTGAAACACAATTTTGGAAATTATCCTAAATCAAGGAAGACATCTCAACAATAGAAAGCTCTGATTCCTTGCCCGGCCTTGGCTAAACCTTTTGTCCGTTTTGGTTAATAAGGTCTTCATTCGTTTAATAAGTTTCAGATGTTCAAATATGTTGGCCACAAGCATCACTGAAAAGACCTTTATTGTCGAGATGCGCATCTGGTTCAGAAAATTGGTACCGTTAATGTTATTGTATACATGTATTTACGCTATATACAGCTACTGCTGACAATAAATAGTGCTTTTTGTGGAACTTTTAACGATCCAGTTCAAATCCAAAATTATTATTAACAAGGTAAACAAAAATGCGAGTGAATGGTTATTCATGTTATTGCAATGCAAGTACATTGTACATTTCAATTGAATGTAGGAAAGTTACATGGTCTTCATCATAATGATGATAGTTAATGTATACATACACACACAGAGAGAGAGAGAGAGAGAGAGAGAGAGAGAGAGAGAGAGAGAGAGAGAGCATATATTCAAAGTTGCGCGCTGGACCGAACATAAACAGGATGATTTTAAACTACATTTAAATACCCATTCTGCTTAAAAGGTAATTGTATGATGTTTTCATTCTATTTTTGTTTAATACTGTACATAAACACTATTCTTTACATTTTAAAATCTTTTATTGTTATGATTTATGCGTGCCCGACTGCTCTGGCTCAACTTACATGATATATCTATAACAAGTATTCATACAAATACAATATGTGTTGCACTTCCTTGGTAACCGTGTACACAGTGGGGTGTTGTACTGATTGCAATGAAGGTACGTTGATTTTCTTACTCAATGTAACAGCAATATACACTAAAGTAATACCTTTAGGAAAACTGAACGTTTGTCTCAAATATACTGTTCAAACAAATTCTAATTTTATGAAAATATTTCTGATGAAGAAGATTGTTTATTGGAACGAATTATAATGTTTTTGTATTCCTGCTATTATTTTTGTATCTTTTCAATTTAAAAATGTTTGATAAACAAAATAAATTCATATAAAGAAGTAAATTTAAAAATATTCATTATTATAATGGGATATTTCATTTTATCCACATGCATTGTTCATGAAAGATTTGACATTTGAATAAGATTATTATTATGTTGTTGTATATATATGTTAATGTAGATACTAACATCTTGTCAGATACGGGAGATAAGGGAATGGTCCCTTTGAAATTTTAATTTTCAATTGTGGAACGCCAATTTTCCCTATATTTCTCGTCATTACAGTTTTCGAAAATGTAATTTTTTTAAAATCTGTACAGGTACAGTACAACTACAAAATGTTTGTACTTTGAGATTAGTTAGACATATTATCATCAGTTTTTTAACACAATGTATTTCTGAAAATCTGTTTTTTTTATTTTTGGGAAACAATTTAGTATATTTAAAAAGCAGAAAACGAGACAGACGATATTTAGCGTAAAATTTGATGGAAAGTTAAGTAAACGTAGTACATGTTGTTTATTTCTGTGTCATTTGGTCTCTTGTGGAGAGTTGTCTCATTGGCAATCATACCACATCTTATTATTTTTATATGTACTACATGTCTTTCAGATGAAGATCTAATCATTTGTGTAAAAAATGTCTGTCGGTGCAAAATTTTGCAAAAAAGATACATAAAAGTCGCACTGCTCAATGGTTACATTAATTTTGTATCTAAAATTGAAGAAAACCTTAAATTGTGGTATTCAATCTCTTTGATATTCAAATACTTTCAGATATCAATAGATGGTGACTTTTCTCTTTCGCCATAATGGAGAACATTCATTTGATGTTAGCAATTAAGTGATAAAGAATTAAGAACAAGCCAACCACATGTTTTGAATGTTTTGTTTTGATTAAAAAAAGAGATTATTTTAGTTGATTGGTGCATTTTTAACTGTATTACCGTCAGTTTAGTTATTTTATTGCATTTAGTTCAGACAAAAAATATCAGCAAAAAATGCATATAATGTTTTTTTCAGCTCATATTCAAAATTGGATAAATGAATGCTCAATTATCTCATGATTATCAAAACTGAATTTCAGATTACCTCAAAGCTACCACCACATACAGTTTTTGTTATTATAGAGATCTTATTTGTAACAGTAATAGCACAGAGTAAGTATATACAAAACTAAATCATCTTTATCATTTGTTGCATGTTTGTTTAATGAAATAACATTTCTGTCCTAAAATTGATTTATCATATATGACAGTTGTTTTCAATTCGTTTGTTGTGTTTGAGCTTTTGATTTTGCCGTTTGATAAGGAACTTTCCGTTTTAAAATTTCCTTGGAGTTCGGTATTTTGTCTATTTTACTTTTATTGAATCAATTAAACTTCTGTGTTGACAAGACACTGGGTGAATGCAATATACTTAGGAAAGGTGGTGGATCAGATCGTTATGACGTACAGCTATAACTCTGTAACATGTTTACATTTATTCATTCGAGCTTAGTTATCTTATCGACAGCAATGTAATTTGCATTCTTTTGTAATGCTCAATTTTGTGCCGTCATTATTATTCTTTTAATCTTATTACTTGATGGCTCAGCCCTCTGAGTGTGTGTGTGTGTGTGTCAATAGGTTATGTCAAAATATCGAATAACACGAAGCTACCTCGAACTGAAAGAGCAATATCAGTGTTTGATGATGAATACTGACGCCAGATAATTTTGTGAAACTATCTGCTTGCAACCTTTTTTGTCAGTTTTCCCAACAATAACAAATATTAAATCCATAGATTCCTAATGCAAAAGATTGTTATTGTTTGGTTATGATTTTCGGTTCAATTAAGATTTAATTTCAAGTACATAATTAACTTTATTAGTTTTCTTTATTCGATCTTTTAGAAAATAAAACCATCTGCATGCATATATTCAACACCATCTTTCCGTTGTCTTTCCGATTATACCTGTAGATCATGAGGATAGGTGCATGGTGTTTGTGGATGTAAATGAAAATGTACATGTATCAAGGAATATAGTCTAGTATTTGCAATTTCAACCGTTCTCTTACATTAACTCCATGAGTATACCAATCAACAGGTTATGAAAGAACATCAATCGATCTTCCGAGTAAAGAAAAACACAACTCACCTAAATTTTTAGCCAGATTATAACAAGTCACTGTAAAAGGGACATTAGCTACGAGATATAAAAAAGATCAAAATATGATTCGTTTTTGTTCAATTATTAATGAAAGTGATGTAGCGAAATACTTTTATTCGCTTTTAGCAGCCAATTTGGTTCAATTTTATCAAAATGAGATAAGAAACATCGCTGATGAATTATTCACTTGCAAGTGAATAATTCGATTTCAATGAATCCGGATCCATGTGACCTTTAATTGAACCCCTTAGTTGGAGATGGGTTACGCATGTATTCAGCTATTAAAAGGGAGAAAATGTCAACATTGAAAGTGAAACAAGGATGATTCAATTGGTTGACTGCTTCAATCCACAAAAATCTAACAGACATAGAAAATCCAATTGCACTTGGACGCTATCTCTTTATACTTATATTTATGTTTTTATCATGTTATATGACCGTCGGCGATCTTCAGAGGTCTTCTCGATGGTTAATTAGATGACGTAGAAACAAAAGTACACACGACATGTTGATACATATTATCGAGTCCATGCATTGTTAATTGTTTATTTTAGACTTTTTGTAATTTGGATATACGTTTTCGTATGTTATCAATCAAATATGAGAATTTGAGTCAAATCAGTGAAGATGAATTTGACAGCCAATGCCCCTTTTATATTTAATTCGGTATGAAAAAAGGTTGATGTTGACTTGTTACATTTATATTTTTAGAAAACATGTATATTTGTTTACATTGTATATAGACAATTCTGGATTGTTTGCAGAGAAAAATATGTGTCGTCCTGTTACATTTTTTCCGACCTAAATTAATATTAACATGTACAACAGTCGTTTTGTCCATTTATTGTTAAGACTATAATTGTCTTTGTCTTTGAAAATTGTATGTAGATCTTTTATTATGTCGTTCGACCTTTCTGTGTGAAGATCTTTTGATTTGTTCTGTTTGTTTGTTTTTTAATCGATTAATATTCCCCCTAAATGTCATTAAGACTCCTGGAGGAAAAGTTCAATATTAAATGAATCTCTCCGGTGACATCTTTTAACACTTATTTCTCTTTTTGCGTTTGATATAAGAGGTGGGTCGCTGGAACTCATGAACCGTAAGTCAAAGTAACCAGCAATCTTTTGAGATGAGATCTTAAATCCACTAGAAGAAACTTAAGGTCCAGGTTCATGTATTAGATTTGAAACTTTGCTTGATAGCGCGGTACTCCTTAGAAACCATAACAATTATCCGCAAAGGGCTTTGTCAACTTGTTTTGTTATTCTACATTTGGGTCGAAATGCTGTCTGATGAAATTGTATAGGAATATTTCCACTTAAATATCTAAAATTAGTTGCGTAGTAGTATATCTACTGAACCATGCATATCAGAGACGTGTTATCATTTGGTTTTAGCTCGATAATCTTTGACCTTGAGATTGAGGTCCAGATCAAAATGAAAATTCGTATATTGAATTTTGACCCTTGTTTGTTATTGCATCTCTGAAAGTATAAAAAAAATATAATAACATGACTGTTCTAAAAAGTATGATTTATTGAAATGAAGATATTATGGTACATTTGTAAATTTGATATGTGATTGAAGGTGAGTCCATATTCGGAATTCATTTCAGGAAGGCGGTAATGGTAATACATCTGCCCATATCGTAAATTTTGATATGTATAATGACTCCTTACGAAGCTGAGACATTTTCACATAATGTGGTTAAATCGAGCTCGGAAGTGAAGCACAATTTTCCGCACTTTTTAAATAATTAAAAAACTATTGCAGTGGTTATTGATTTTGAGAACCTTTAAAATACGTAATAATGTTACCACTGGAAATCTGATAAGACCAATTCCTCAGCAACGATTGTTCTACTGGAAAATGTTCACATTCCAACTATTCCAACTATAATGTCAACTGCATAATTACAATAAATGTACATAAGACACATCATCAAAGTAAAATGTAGGCATATTAATCATTCTGTTGATGAAAACGTACTGAGAAAACAGAATTCAGACACCCCCTTCAAACTTTACTGTATAATCTAGAAAACGCTTTGGGAACATTTCTATTTTTGTATATATTGTGTGTCTCAAGATTTAACTTCAAAACAATTATAGTGTGTCATTTCATAAAATATTTTAATACCTTTCTGAAGTGTTTTATAGAACTCTCCATACTTGTACCCGAAAACCAATTTCATACACCTATTTGAAATGATGTTAATTGGCTAGAAAAATGATTTGTCTTACAAAATATAACTTTTGATAAGGTTCCGTAATGATACAATGTGAATAATATTAACGATTACAGAGAGCTAGCATGGCAACTATGGTGACCGATGTCTTGGTAGTAAAAAATTAACACGTATAATGGGGAGACGATTTTGGCGTAGTAAAATATCTGACTGATAGTGTTCAAAGCTCTAGTAGGTGTTATTGTAATTTGTATAGATGTACGTTGATTTCGGCAACTGTTGACCACCTATACTATTATTATTTATTATTATAATTATTATTATTATTACTTTAAATGACAACGTTGGTGTATATTTTAGCTAGAAATATACCTGTTTTCCCAATTTAGCTACATCAGTGTGTTTTGAGAATGTATAATAAGATAAAGTAACAACAAGATGTTATACAAACAAAATTAAATGATAAAAAAGAAGTCAGTTTCATGTACATTATTAATTGCAGCAAATCTTGCAGTTAAGGGAAATGTAGATCAACACTCAACGCTTACAGATGCAAATGGTACAGTTTACAGTGCAAACTTGGCAATAGAAGGACCTGTAAGTAATAACTGGGAAGATGGATGTTCGTCTACAGACCAAGGACAAGCAGTAGCATGGTGGGCTCTGGTTCTTCCGAGAGTAGCTTTTATGACAAGTGTGGTGATTTACTTTCGTGGCGACAGTAAGTAGAAAGTTAAGCATATGTAACTGACTCTATTTTAAAAGAGTGAAATCCATTTTATTCCTATTTATAAGCTTTTTCAATGTTTACCATAAATGAATGCAGATTTCATAAAGAAACACACAATTTTTACAATCTTCCATGCTTTTATTCTTATAATTGATAAAACTTACATTTAGTGTTCGGGGAATTTCCCAAAAGATATGAAAGTTGTAAATATTTGTGGTAAAAATGTATGTGACAACTTTTTATTCGGGAATTTCCCCGAAATCAATTTCAACATTAATTAAAACTTTTGGTAGAATAGCTATGTGACAAACAGATCTTAAACACATTTCGGGAAAAATCCCGAAAAAATAATCTAAATGTAAAATGTATAAAGCATATATGTCTTCAAACATTTCCGGAATTATCCCTAATACCCAACATATAAATAAGCTAGAATATGATCTTTATGTATTTTTTGTTGTAAAATTCAAATGTGGATATAAAATGGCATTACTTAAATTTATAAACTATGCAAAATAATTAAAATAGATGTACTAGGATTGAAATAGCAAGGTTTTAAAAATTATTTCTTAATTAAAAAGACAAAGATTGATAGATATGGTATAAAATAATTCATATATGCAATTACTACGCACCAGTTAACTAATAAACTCACATATAGTACTTCAATCACAACAATGTTTTATAAATAGCGGTTGCATTAATGGAGATAAAAGGTACCAACAAGATTTGCAGGATGTATGCCTATACAAATAAGATGATAATGCATTATTACATTTATACCAAAAAAACACAACAGTTTGAAATATCAGTAAGTCTGCAGTCCTTTAAACTACAAAATGAACTATGTTTGGCATTCTTTTCCTCTTGTTTATCTTCATATCTGTGTCTTTTAAGACTCTCGTCAATTTGCAGTTTTGACCTATACTTATAAAAAAATAAGGAGATGGTGCATGATTGCCAATGAGACAACTAGCCACCAAAGTTTGAATAAAGTGGATGTAAGCAGTGATAGGTAACTGTACAGCCTTCTACAATGAGAAAAACCCATACTGTATAGTCGGCTATAAAAGGCCCCGAGAAAACTAACGGCCTAATTTAAAACAAAACAAGTAGCGAAAATCAAATATATAACATACGTAAACCAACGACTTCTATGGAAATACTGGCTCCTGACTTGGGACAGGCACATAAAGAATGTGGCAGGTTAAACAAGTTTTTGAGTGCTCAACCCTACCCTAACCTGGGACAGTGGTGTTACAGCACAACATAAGAACAAACTATAAAAATCAGTTGAAAAGGTTTTATCATATTTTTAGCTCACCGTTCGGAAGGAACTGTGAGCTTTTGCCGTCACTTGGCGTCCGTCGTCGTCCGTTGTCGTCTGTCGTCGTACGTCTGGTGTAAACTATTTCAAACATCTTCTCCTCTGAAACTACTGAACCAATTCCAATCAAACCTAAGCTGAATGATGCTTAAGGTATCTAGAATAAAGTTTGTGTTTTATTTACTGTTTTTTCAAATAACATGGCCGATATGGCTAAAAATAGAACATAGGGGTAAAATGCAGTTTTTGGCTTATATCTAAAAAACAAAAGCATTTAGAGCAAGTCTGACTAGGTTAAAGTGTCCATTAGGTGAAGTTCTATCAGCCCTGATATTTTCAGTTGAATCTGATAACCCATTGTTGGGTTGCTGCCACTAAATTGGTAATTTTAAGGAAATTTTGCAGTTTTTGGTTATTATCTTGAATAATATTAATGATAAAGATAAACTGTGAACAGCAAAAATGTTCAGCAAGGTAAGATCTACAAATAAGTTCATACGATCAAAATTGTCAATTGACTCCTCAAGGAGTTATTTCCCTTTAAGGACAGTTTTACACAATTTGTTTAACATATTTTCTAACTTTAAAAAATCTTCTTCTCTGAAACTACTGAACTAATTCCAACCAAACTTAAGCTGAATGATTTTAAGGGTATCTAAAATAAAGTTTGTGTTTTATTTTCTGTTTCGTATAAAAACATGGCCGCCATGGCTAAAAATAGAATGTAGGGGTAAAATGCAATTTTTGGCTTATATCTCAAAAACCAAAGCATTTAGAGCTAATCTGATGTGAGGTAAAAATGTTTATTAGGCCAAGCTCTGTCAGCCCTGAAATTTTCAGATGAATCTAACAACCCATTGTTGGATTGCTGTCACTTAATTGGTAATTTTAAGGAAATTTTGCAGATTTTGGTTATTGTGAATATTATTAATGATAAAGATAAACTGTAAACAGCAAAAATGTTCAGTAAAGTAAGATCTACAAATAAGTTCGTATGACCAAAATTGTGAATTGTCCCCTTGAGGAATTATTGCCCTTTAAAATCAAATGTTCACAATTTGTTCATTTAGTTTGCTTATTTTAAAAAATCTTCTCCTTTGCAACTGCTGAATCAATTTCAGCCAAATTTGGGCTGAATGAGTTTCAGAGTATCTAGTATAAATTTTGTATTTTATTTTCTTGTACGTCAAGAAACATAGCCACTATGGCTAAAATGAAACATAGGGGTAAAATGCATCTCTTTGATTTTGAAGAAAATATGACAGATACAAAGAACATTTCAATGGAAGTTTTAAGCCATTCATTAATATATATATATAGTGAAAAGCAAAAATAATCATTGATGAAAGATTTAAGCAAAAAATTACAGGTGAGCGATTCAGGCTCTTGAGAGCCTCTTGTTATAGGTCAACTCTCTTGAAATGATTAACAAGTGATTGTAGAATTTAATAAACATCTCCTATCAACATCAAATTCCCTAAAAATAAAAGCTTTAAGATACAACTTTAGGTGACAGGAAAAGTCTTGACTTTGGATAGGCACATGGACTTGCAGTAGTTTCTGAAAACTCAATATTGCTCCCCTTTTAAATCTTGATCAATATTTTAAATGAAAAAAAAAGTTACATAGAAGAATGCAGGTTGCCAGTAACATTCAATTGGAGAAAGGGAAAAGATTACTCAACTCTACACTGAAATAATTTTGAAAACTATTAATGCATGTAATGGCTATACTATCTTTATTGTAAAAAAATGTTGGAAAAGTTATGTACATTATGATCATGTTGATTGTGTTGAAACGTCACACAAGGCAATCAAAATATTCAGAGGGGAAAATGAAGTTTTGTTATAAATGTCAAGTGTGATAGTCTCAACCTATCAACATGATCAAAATTGTTGATTTCACTATTAATATTTACATTTAGCATGTACAGTGGAATAGAATGTTTTTGTTATCTTTTATTAAATGTTATTTTACTTTGCTCTTATAGGCAGGATTGAAAGGAAGAAAGAACTAGTCATCAGTAAAGAAACAGATTAATTTATATAACATGTAATAATTCCATCTGAATATAACAAACATTGCACATGTTATGAAGATTTATTCACATGTCTACTCTGATTTGTAGTTATGTAATTGTAATATTATATAGTACATGTATTTTATTTTAGAACAGTATTTTTTTTTGCTGTGGAGAACATCAAAGGAATTTAGAAAAATATGATTAAAGATAGTTTCTTCCATTTTTTTCTGTGACAAAAAAAAATTGTGCAAATTAGGAAAATGAAATGAGGCTATATTATTAAATATTTTTGAGTTTTAGTTTTTTTACATCCTATTTTAAAATTTCATTGGCATTTGAAGTAATGAGTTGAAACCAGTTTTTATCAATCATTTTGTTCTCAAGATGTACAAACAGTACAGTAGGTAATTAAGTCTTTGGTGTACATTAGTTTACTATGATGTTATGGTCAAATAAACTTGAAATTTTGTACTTGCAAGTGTTCATTATGAAGTCATTTTTTAAAATAATTACAAATAAGTTACTGAACATGGAAATGTGATTGTGGGAGCAGGGTAGCGCTGCCCTCCTCACCGGCCTCTCAGTAACCTAATGGTGTATTGACTTGTAAAATTTCCTTAGTTTACACTATAAGGTTTGTGATAAGTTCAGTTTAAGGAGAACCACTAATAGTATGTCAGGGATATTTTATTTGCAGTTGAATAAGCTTTAGGACAACGCATGTGCTTGGGGATTTTTTTACCCTGAACCCTCAATCATGGTCTAATGACTTACAATCTTTTGCATAGTTTACATGTTAAAGTTTATGCTTAGGCCAGTTTAAATTCGACCACTTATCAGAGGTGGATTTAGAGGGGCCTGCCCCTCTTTTTGTGGGACAAATTTTGTTGATTATATATACGGAATAACTGAAGCATGACAAAAGATATGCAGTAGAGAGAAACCTTTATATTTCGTAGAAAATACTTTAAAAAAGTATGCTTATAAACAAAATTCATATTTTTTTCATTTAGACACATATTTTTTTATGAATCATAATATTTCAACAAATGTTGGAAACAAATTTACATAAAAACTTTCTGAATGTATCAAAGTTCTGTGTTGTAAAATCTTATAGATTGTTTTTTCGGGATTTTTCCCAATATGTTTAAGAAATCTGTAGCATAATTTTTCCTTGTAGATTTAAATTCGGGATTTTTCCCGAAATGGGTAAAAAAATCTATGCAACAAGTGTGTGCCTGATAATAGATTTATATTTTCGGGATTTTTCCCGAAATGTGAAAAGAAATTATTAGTCATGAGTTATAGCATATACTTTGGGTTTTCGGGATAAATCCCGAAATATTTGAAAACATCTGTGTTATACATTTTGCACTTAGTTTATTTTTGTCGGGATTTTTCCCGAAATGTGTTTCAGATCTGTTTGTCAAAACGCTTTGCCAACATATATGTTATAAAAAATAATGTTGAAAATGATTTCGGGACATTTCCCGAATAAAAAGTTGTCACATACATCTTTACCACAAATGTTTTAAAACTTTCATATATTTTGGGAAATTTCCCGAAAATTAAATGTAAGTTTTATCAATTATATGAATAAAAACATGGAATATTGTAAAAATTGTGTGTTTCTTTATGAAATCTGCATTCATTGATGGTAAACATTGAAAAAGATTATAAAAAGGAATAAAATGGATTTTACTCTTTTAAAATAGAGTCAGTTATGTTTAAATCATGATGAGCGAAGAACAAAAGTTTGCTCAAACGAATTTGCATATTTAAAATGTTAGGTCTGCTAAATATTATTATTAGTGATTTCACTCATGTATAACCTCACCTATATAAATTTATGTTAAAACATGCCCCTTAGTTAACGACAAATTATGACAAATTATCCCAACTAACTGTAAATAAAAGTCTATCTAGTACATTTGTTACTATATCATCATTTAAACTTTTAAGAAACGTCATAATAAAGTTAGCTGGTCTATTAGCAAATCTAATAATATGAAAGCTCGCTCCTTGCAGTCCCCAAATGAATGTTTGTCCAAAAAACATAATAAGAGGCGCACTATGGCATTATATAGTTAAGATAATTAGAAATTTCAATAAATTGAAATAAGTGGTAAAGATGAGTAACGAAGTACCCACTTATAATAATGCAAAGGCAAAGTCCATGCTTTGGTATCAGGGAAACCACAAAATAAAGCTGATGACAAATAAAAGGTTCAAAAGTAAACCATGTAGTAAGTAATATTCTATAAAAGTCACAAAATGTTTCCAAAAGCAATTGCAAATACAAAAGTTGGACAGAAGGACGAACGGAAAGACAGCCGCGACAACCTTCCCCATCACAACTTACCGACCGTTTTAAAATTGGTGGTAAAACAACTCATAGATTCTCATGACAGTAACCCTATGATGTCTCACTATGCGATTGTTACTCATTGAGATTGTTTTGTAATGTTGGCTCTGTTTTTTTGGGTAGAACACGACTAGTAAGAATCATGAATCCTTAAAAGTGTATTGGTTTTTATTCGATTTGAATTAAAAAATTGGAAAAATAATCTGTCCGACATGAATCCTGGACAGATTGGAAGCTGCAGTACCATGATCATTGAGGAATTTTATATAAACATAGTATGTTGATTACGCTGTTGATTTTATTGAGCTATATGTTGTCCTTCTTTAATGCTTATCTTATATAATCGTACATTTCATTTTGTAATGTAAACCAAGTTGGCTGTAAAAACACGCATAAAATGCCTTCTATAAATTACTTCATTTTGGTTACTTCTATACAGTACCTAATTGTTTTGGCAATCTGTCAAAGATGGGAAATGCCATTTGAAGAAATGCACGGTTCTGATAGGTATATTTTACATCCTCTTGTGTTGTTTGATTTTTACAATACCGTCTTTTTCACCAGCTCTACCATCTCTTTAAGTTACATCATCAAAATTCCTCTTTTGATTTTCATAATTATTTTAGTTCCTTTTTTGACTTACATCATTACCCACTAAAGCATTTCCCCCCTTTCATTGTAAAAATATGTGTTTCAGGAGCAGACCAAATAAATAATTTTCGTTTGTATGTATCTAATGGAAGCATAAGTGGTCCAGATGAAAGTCTGTGCTACACAGATGTAGGCGTACCTGGCTATCCGGAAACTACACAGGAAATCGACTGTAATAAACTTGCTAAACAACTTTACTTTTTCAACAGATATCAGGTTATAGAGTTATGTTATATCGAAGTAAACGGTAAGAAAGTATAATATATTTAAATTAGACACTAGCATGCATACTACTATATTACATACTTTAAAGAGCCTGAGTGAGTCATCTGAATCTATGTGCATCTTCATGAGATTATTCCGTAGCACTTGAGATCATCCATGGTTTTTGGTGGGGATCTTGTTTCTCAGTCTTTAGGTTTCTTTGTTGTAATTTGTATACTGTTGTCTGTCTTTTGGTCATTTTGTGTTTTGTGCTTTTGTCTTGGCGTTTTCAGTTTGTTTTCGACTTATGAGTTTGGATGTCCCTTTGGCATCTCTCTCCTTTCTTCATGAATGACCACTCTCGAACGTAGTAGACAAGTATGTATTTCTTAACTAAAACTGTTATTTGTAATTATAATACTTCACGTAAAAATGCAATATTTTGATTGGCTTATACAAGGGTGTTGATTTACTCTTTTCTATGGTAAATACTCTATTACCTTCACGGAGATGCTTGATCAAGTGTGCGCTTTATTAAATACGACTCTATCGTATGGCAAATACTCTATTACCCTTCACGGAGACGCTTGATCAAGTGTGCGCTTTATTAAAGACGGATGGTTGTTATGTACAAGACGCCATAGTTTATTACTTTGAATTTGAAATTCAATCGACAGTAATACAAGTAACAGAACATTAAGTATAATAAATTAAATAACACATATCTGAGAGGGTGATAGAGCAGATTGTTACCCCTCGCTTCGCCTTAGTTGACAATGTTTTCTCGGGGTAACAATCTGCTCTATCACGCTCTCAGCTATGTGGTATTTATATAATGTTGTATTGATAACATATATTTATGTTTACAGTAAATCTCTATTTATAATAGATTTTGCCCAAAAAACAAAATTTGTCAAAATCCAATAACTCCTTGACCATGTTGAAACAAATGGACCGGTAGTTTGTACCTATTCCGCCTTTTTGTAGATCTTATCCTATTTTGATGATTTTTGCTGTTTATCGTTTCCCTATATTTTCTTTCTTCTTTCTGGCCAAAACGTAAAAAAAGAAAAACAAATCGTCATCAAAGGGCAATGATTCATATAACGAATCAGCAAACAATTTGGACTTTGTTGACTTATTTTTTGTTTTTGTTTGCTTCTTATTAAATGCATATTCAAGAGGAGAAACCATTGCAAATTAATACAATATGTAGGTTTTGTAATGGTAGGACAGCCGGTATCAAGAAAAATTTTGAATTTAGCCAGCCACTTTTAATGCGGGTATGTATGAAATGGACAGATATTTAACTTGCCACGTACGTACCCTCAAAGACGTGTTGCAAGGTTTCTTTTACAAGAAGATAGTCTGATTATCCCTCTACACAGTGTATCAGATTTTATTTTCTTATTTTAACCGGATGTGGCTGCGTATTTATAATTCCTCCACATCCGAACGGAAGCCACACGCTAGCAAGCTAAGGGTATTGCTGACGGGACGGGCAATTCCAAGGGTTGAACATATTTCTCAACCATAGTCAACCCTTTTGGTATAAAAATGTTATTCAGTTTTGCTTAAACTGTAATGACCACATTTGGCAGATTTTATAGCAGTTTTTAGAATACCAAAATGCATTTTTGTTTGTGTTTGTCTTCATTTTATACAGCTGTAGATAGTTTTCAAATATTAGTTGATTGTATCTCAAGTGTTTTGTAATAGAGACCCAACAAGAATTTCAGCTTTATATGATCTGTTTTCTTAACTGACAGTAATCAATTCGCGATCCTTTCGAAAAATGTACAAACTACTATATGTGTTGCCCTCCTACGTTTTAACAGAATATCTTTTACCTCACACTATAAAATGACTAAAACTCGTCTTTATGGTCTGTTCTGAAATACATGTTACCATAATATATAGTATTTCGATGTTCAGATCAACTAATTTGCCAAGGTTTTTAACAGATAATTTGGAGAGAAAAACAATCGGAATTGGAAGAACTACAAACACAATTATCTCTAGTGTGTCGACAGGGTATGCATGTCCTGATGTATATGGTGGATCATCGGTATATATTTCCTCAGATAGAATGTTCTTATACTTTACCAAAATAAAGATTTTACCATGCTTTTTTCAAAATATAATAACAAGTATGGGTCACGGTGCTATTTTTCAAGCTACAAGTCGTGCAAAATTGCACACATGTGCATAGATTGTTCATGAAAAGACACAGTTTTGTGAATAAAAAGAAATCTATCTGATAGAATTTCGAAATAAAATATGAGGAGATAGGTTTCATAATATGAATTAAGAAAATAAAAAGAAAAGGGTTTCACCGAACTTGTTTCCTCGCTACAAGTAAAATATGGAAATTTCTCTATCATTTTAGGATAAATTTTTTTACTATAAGAGGTATCTCCCCTTAAATGGCTAATTTGGAAAATTGAGTAAAAAAACAAATATTTGGTATTTGTTTAGACATTTTGGATATTGCAATAAATCACTTATTTTCCTTTAAAGAAATAAACATTCTTACACATAAATTGCAAATCTGTCTCCAAATTTGCAGATTAAGCCAAAGAACTAGACCGATTGTGTACTGCTATTGTACAATCCAAGATCTCGGTGGGAAGTGAATCTACCTTAACTATCCTAACGTGGCAGCTTGTGGAAAGTGTCAAATATGGAACCTGACAAAAATGTTATAATGTTTGATCCCGTAAAACTGGTTTCAAAACCAGTTTTATTTGTAATGGTGTATAATAAAAATATTATCCGACATATTATTTAATTACCGATAATATTCATATTATACAATCACAAACAAAACATTATCGTTTAAAACTACTTTAATTTGCAGGATGTTGGAAAGGTACATGGGGAACGAACTGTACACATACATGTCCGCCTAAATGTATAAACCAACATTGTCATCCTAAAAACGGTTCCTGTGTTTGGGGATGTAATCCTCAGAACTGTTTAAATAACACATGTGATATACATACAGGGTATTGTATTGAAGGATGTGAAGATGGTTGGTTTGAGCAGTATTGTAACACTAGTAAGCATCTTTTTCCTTATGAATATCATTTTCTACTTTTCTGATATGTTATAGTTTACAGTATTGGGTTGCATTGTAATATCGTTTGATACATGAACGTTGTATGAAGCAATTATAAATACATGTATTACTGAGTAAATAAATAACCAGAACATTTGTTTGATAACTTAATTATATTTACATTTTAACGTTTACTCCATTGTGTACCGTATTTGACATATTTATTAACTAGACTAAGGATAAGTGTAAAATATCAAAACGTTTCGTGTACAGGGTAATATCATTTTTTTTTTGTATTTATTGATATAAGGTTGGTATACATAATGAAAATCATATGTAATATCCGGTTGCGTTAAAAGGCCAAACACAGACCTACTTGAGCACATGTAATTGAATATTTAATATATTCAAACTCAAAGTGGGTGTTCTTTTTTTCAATTAGTACTTGTCAATTTCAAAGAAAATGTTGTTAATGTCAAAACTGAAAAGAGACTTGAAAACTCTAAATTGTCTGAAAGCTTTGACACCATGCTTTGCTTTTAGTGTTCACTATAACTCATATAGTATAGGTTTCATATTGTGTTTCTATTTTCAGTGTACGTTTTACGGAAGCCCATTTAGGACCTCCCAAAATATATATATTTGAATTCGAAATCACGAATATAAATCGTTATCACGAATTCAAGAATTCGTTATAACAGATTAAATTTCCGGAATTAGTTATAACAGTTTTTGTAATTCGTAATTATTTGGTAATTCGAGATAACGGATTGAAATCGAAATAACGAATTTTATAAATCGTGATAACGAATTGTATTAATCGTTATAACTGATTGAATTCGTTATCACGAATTTGTAGAAATAGTTATCACATTTTTTTGGTAATTCATGATAACGGATTAAAATCGTAATAATGAATTTTATAAATAGTTATAATGGATTAAATTCGTTATCACGAATTCGTAGAAATAGATATAACGAAAGTTGATCCGTTATTACGAATTATACAATTTATTATAACGATTTTTAACCGTTATCACGAATTACAAAAACCTGTGAGAACGAAACTTATCCGTAATAACGAATGATAAAATTCGTTATCGCGTTTATAATCCGTTATCACGAATTACAAAAAAATGTGATAACGAATTCGATCCGTCATTACGAATAACAAAAACTGTTATAACAAATTCCATAAATTCATGATAATTAATTTAATCTGTAATAACGAATTCTACAATTCCTGATAACGATTTTTAATTCGTGATATCGAATCAAATAATTTTTTGGGAGGTCCTAAATGGGCTTACGTAATGTACAGTGTTAATAAAGTGCATATTCTTTTCTTTTCATGTTGCGTTAAATGGTTTGATGGTTTGGTAGTGTGTTTTATATTATATAGTCGACTTTAACAGCTACCATAATTTTGCTTTCCATCACAGAGTTTTGAGTTTTTGTTTCTAAAATGTGAAATTGATGTATTCGTTTATCCTTAGAGCCTCATACATGTACGTGAACTTTTAAATTGTAATCTTTGAAACTTCAATTCAAACACAATTAATCAAATTCTATGTAAGAATGTTACAACTGTAACTATTAGTTGATACATTATTCATGTTATTTTATATATCTTTTTTTTAAAACACGTCCATTGCATTCAAGGATAGATAGGAATCAGTGTACACATGTAGCCACTTAACAATATCATTGAAAACACCTTATTTAAAAATAATAGTTTCCTCCATAATTATTGTTAATTTGTTTTTATTATTTATATAATGACCTTTTCTATTATTTTTCGGAAATATCATATCTGCCAATTGGTCCTAGATATTTATGTCTACAATGGGATAGAAACGAACATTCGTCATAATGTCAGCAATGGTGCAAGTCGGTAAACACATGGAAACGGAACATATGATATTTGGTCAACAACTACAGATTACTAAATGTTTTTTTCTAACAGTTTGTGGAATGAAGTCAGTTGTAAGTGAAATTGAAATACTTACCTTACACTTGTAAATACTGCAATCATTTACCAAAAAGATGTAAATAATAATACTATACTAAGAACATAACAAAAAGATAGAGTGTCGATCAAACCATGGATGAAAAAAAATAAAAGTCTACTTAAAAAAACCACAAACAAATGTGGGAATGAGTTACACAATTTTTACCAACAACTGTTGTTGACATGCTGGTTGTGACAAGTAAAGGTTACTAAATTTTGTTATGAATCATAAATAAACATATTATAGTTACATGTATATATCGATTTCAATGCACATGAGATGGTGTTCCTGAATAAACGAGTAATCGAAGAAAAGTGGGATGGATTAAGTCTGCAATCGTATGTCATATGCAATATGTTCGGTGTTATTTGCGACAAAAAATTTAAAGTACTTTCAATCAAATCAATGCTGATCATACAACGTTCAAAGAAATGTCTTCAAAATGACTAGTTCTTTGGTTAGATGCCTTCTTATATACATATAAAACTTATAACATAAAAACATAACGTTCACATATGGTTTCTTGAGGGGAGTTGTCTCATTGGCAATGATACCACAACTTCTTATTTTTACAATTAACGTTTTAGTTTTGTCGTAAAGTGAAGTTCTAAAGGAAAATTTCACGTCCACTTTTAGATGCACGGTCAAGGATAAAGCAAATAGAACACATATGAGTGTGGTATCCTTAGTTTATCTAAATTACATGGAATAAAATCAGACGACAAAATGAACAAACTTTGATTTTGTCAGTGAAACGACAATATGTATATAGAGGATACTGCAAATTAAAAAATAACGTATCTTCTTCTTGAAACTTATGAAACCTACTACATAGGGACAACGTAATACAATCTTACTGAAAAGGATCAGAGCTGGTTTCAGCGATTTAGCTTTGTAAAAAAACAAACAATAAATCTGCAACAGTTCTTTTTGACCGCAGTGCTACAACAATTTCTATCCACAGCTATTTCAAGTTGTTGATATTCACGGGTGGCAGCTTTGCATGTACTTAGCCAAAAAATAATGGGTTATTCTTCATAACAGTTCATAATTCATTAAATTGGGTAAAGACATGCAGCAAAGCCCTTGCTAACGCGGGACGTCAATTTGGTTGCGTTGGATGTATGAATACCTTAGTGCACAGTATATTATTGAGGAAGTTGAACCATTTCAACAGAACAGACATACTTCTTTTTTATGATATTTTCCTCTTTTTGATAACGAAACGGATTTTTTTAACAGATTGTAAGGTTGAATTGAATTTAATTGCATTCACGACCCGATACCATATATCTTATATGATCCGATCGAACTGCTTAATTGACATCAATTTGGTTGCGTTGGATGTATGAATACTTTAGTGTACAGTATGTTATTGAGGAAGTTGAATCATTTTAACAGAACAGACATTCTTCTTTTTTCTGATATTTTTCGCTTTTTGATAACAAAACGGATTTTTTTCACAGATTGTAAGGTCGAATTGAATTTAAGTGCAATCACGACCCGATACCATATCTTACATGATCCGGTCGAACTGCTTAATTGACCACTAATCCTTCACGATATTTTTTTCGGAAATTTACCGAGCATGCAGAATGACAGCCGTGTAAATGCATTACGTAAAATATTAATATTTATCATTTCAAATATGCAGCACCAATAACTAGAAGGAATGTTCAACCCACCATTTTTTTCTTAAAATATCCTGTACCAAGTCAGGAAAATGGCCATTGTTATATTATAGTTCGTTTCTGTGTGTGTTACATTTTAATGTTGTGTTTCTGTTGTGTCGTAGTTCTCCTCTTATATTTGATGTGTTTCCCTCAGTTTTAGTTTGTAACCCGGATTTTTTTTTCTCAATCGATTTATGAATTTCGAACAGCGGTATACTACTGTTGCCTTTCTTTATTCAGAAGTACACGGCATCAGTGATTACTCGTCTGATAGCACTGAGTTGTAAACTGGATCTTTAACTCAATTACATTTATGTATGACCTGTTGTAAATTCAATGATGTTTGAAAAAATTAAAAAAGTGCATTGCCAACTCAAGATGTGACTGATTTGTTTTAACTAATTTATTGAACAAGTTGAATATTATGATTCATACGTGTAATTTATATTTCAATAGCCACATTTTGTTCTATTTCATCAAAGTTTTGATTATTTAAAAAAAAAAATGTCTATTAAAGATACAGACAGAGAAGGGGGCAAACGTTAAATAGAAACACTTATTAAAATACCATGCAATATTAATGTTATTTAGGACAACGACATTTCTAAACAACAGCGACTTGACATAACCCATTACAATAATTTGTAATTTAAAACAGCAGACATAATTTGTACTTCCTTACTCTTTATACTATAGGTTGATGAAGGACGATTGAGAACAAAACTTTACGATACAAGGGTTAATTAAAAAAATGTTCCATTGTAAAATTTCCCTTTTTAGGTAGCAACATTCCAACAGTACCTTCATATAAATGGATTATATATATCCCAGTCAATAGGATATTTTACGTTATAGAGAAAGTCCAAATAACTGTTCATTCCTGGGAAATAATGGAGTTGAGTCTCGTAGGGCCGACGCCCATTTTTTACCAGGAATGGACAGTCGTTTGGACTTTCGCTAACTTAAAATACACCTTAAATCTTAAATATTAAAAACGAATCTTTAGATTATAAGATTTCATAGAATTTTATTAAATGTTGTAATGGTGTTCCTGTCATTTTACCCGTGTTGTACCCAAGAATCCGTAGGCAAAATATAAGATCAAGCTGATCATCTACTCACTTAACGAAGTATTTATGAACAGTAGAATAATTACTGTAAAAAGATCTTGAATAAAGTTCATTCAGATCTATGTTTAAAGTCATTGGATACGCACGTCTTTCTTGTAGTGGGATTGAAAGGATATTTAATTGTGGTATTTCGGAAGAGTAAAAAAAAACTAGTATATATGCATATATGTTAATAGATTATGTGTGTTTTTCGTTTGATAAATATTGGATGTAGAATCGTCTGAGAAAAGTGAAATGGTACAACTAGAATGAATTTCCAGGTATGTAACACTCTAGTATAGGTTATTTAACTAATAACGGTGTGCTCGATTTTAAGTCATATCGAAAACAAAATGTGATTTTATCTTTCAAACCATTTTATTCGATGAAATAAAATGAAACAAGAAAACAGTATTTCATGCACAACCCAACATTTTGTCTTTCCCTTTGCTAATTACAACGAACAAAACTTTTATGCATTTTTTTTAAATAGCAATACAAGCAAACTGAAAGTATTTTTCATTCTTCCCTGTTATCAGAAAGGAAGCAAAAAAATTTTAGAAACAAAAATCCGCATGATTATAAGCATTTCTGGATTCCGTTTTGTATGTATTTAACTTAAATGGACAACTACCTTTTAATTTCATTTAAGCATTTATTTGAAGAATAACGCCGTTTATTTGCACTGCCGATATAACTGTTATATTTGCCACTGGACATATAACAACAGTGAATAAATTCGATTATGTTACACGTTTCTGTTGAAAATTGAATAGAAACTCCGCCCAATATTTAACACAATCCTTATTCAAATGTTATCCATAACCCTCCAATTTTATTCATTAGTACTATATTTAAATTATAACAACGGACAATTAAATAAAATACTTGAACTATTTATTCTATTAAACCACAATATTATTGTAGAAACTATCCGAGTAATTTTTGTGTTTTTAATTTATATATAAAAATGCAACAAACTATGTTTGCTGTACAAAATCAAAATATTTCAAGGAAATGATATCTTAAACGGTAAAATTAAAATCAAATCTTTATGTGAAATATATTTTTCTCTTATTTTCATTATTGAATAATGTTAATGTGTTCAATATTACAATAGAATTTACTGACTCACACACACAGTTAACACATTTAATATTTTGTAGATGCACAGAAGAGGAATGGGACTCAATGGAAAATATTCGTTTTTACCCACTTGGATACTATCCAAGTCAAAAATTCAACCAAGATTTGCATCGGGAAACAAATTGTGCATTATATTGTTGAATTTTAGTGAATATGATACTATATTTACACGATGGAATTACGACTCGCAAATAAAAGCTGTTTTTAATAATGAGATATTTAGTGTTCATTGTATTCCTACGATCCCAATTTAAAAAAAAATCCAATATCAGTCGTTTTAGTAAGATTTCATCTTCATTCAATATCGCGTTTAGTCCTTTAGAATTATTCCCATGGGTGAACACTTTTTAAGAAAGTGCCCATGGAAATAAACAAAGGGCAAAACGTCCGGATGAATGAAGACGAACAATACAAAATAACTCTCCATTCCTGAAAAAAATGGAGAGTTTGAACAAAAGATTTACGTCACAGGTGTATTTTAAATCTTGCGTGTGTTATTATGAATTCCTTGACAGACGATTGCTGCTAACGAGGAAGCCATTGAATCAAGTGTTCGAAATTGAAAAGTTGAAGTCATTCCTTCAAAAATTGTACAGTCATCAAAATTTTATCACAAAAGGCAAGAATGACAAAAGATATGATTTGTTTGGTACACATGCAGATTTAAAATAGAGAAGTTAGATCCCTGCAAATATACATACACGTTTATTTTACACAACCTTTCAAACTAGGAAGTGGAAATTCAAAAATGGTCTTGTTTTCAAAGTGAGTGTTTAAATAAATAGACACAAGGTTATTTAAAGGCCTACTGATTATTTTCTATATTTACTTCAGCTACTTTTCTCATGAATTCCGTCGAATCACAGTTCAGAACACTATATTTTGCTGCGTTTATTTGTTTTTTGTTCACAATACAAACGCAAACCAATGTTTGTCTGTTACGGTATGCACCTCACCTTGCTCATGGTGTTCCCATAAAAGTTTTCATTCAGTGTTGATTTCAACTACCGAACGCTATCGTTATACAAAATTTGTTAAGGCATTTC